CGGCCTATCGCTGGGCTGAGGAGCTACCTCCATATCGATACAGTCGAGCACCGGCCTGACTTCGGCCACCACGGTGTAAAATTTCCCCCTCTGGATTTTTGCCTCTAGCTCCAGCACGTCGAACTACGTCTTGGTTTTTCGACGGTACTCTGCAGACACCAAAAGGTTTTGTCAAACGAAGAAATCATATCAGCAACACCCCCAACCATGAATGACTCACCTTCTAGATCCTTGGCTAGTTTCTCCGCTCGCCTAGATGTTTTTTCCTTCTCCTCTTGCAGTTGACTGACGACTTGACGCAACCGGCCGAGCTCTACATTTTGCACTACAAACATAACGGTCGACAGCAACATAAAGACCGTTCAGCAATGCAGAACAAATTCACCGATCCGTAATACCTTTCTTCTGTTCGAAGATGCTTTTCAGCTGCTCAGAGGTGCGCTCCAGCTGCTCGGAGACGATCTTCAACTGCTCGAATAAGATGCTCTTTAGGTACTCCAGGTCCTTGATGTTTGATTCAGCAAGATCCCTTTCGCGTTGGGCCCTTTGAATGTTCTTCTCCATCAGTTTCATCACCTCCCTTAGTTTCTCGTTCTCCTCGACGAGGGGCTCCATCCTTTTGATCAACTGTTGTCGTTTTTCAGCAGTCCACGCTATGCCCTGCAAAGCAACAAGATTATAAAAGATCATAGTCTCCAATGCCAAAGACGGACACCGCTAACGCAACACTAACCTCAATTTGCTTCATAGTCGTGCAAAGGGTGGACTGTAGCCTCTTCACCTCCCTGGTGGTGTCCTCCTCTTCTACGACCACAACTTCCTCCCCTCGCTTGAGGAAGATGCAGATGGTTTGAGATCATGATCCTTCACGCTCAATCTCCTCAACCTCGTCCTCTTCCTCCATAGCCGATGGCGCTCCTTGGGGGCTCAGTGGCCTCATGGAGCGACTGACCATGCCCTGTGGCATCTCAGGGTGCGTCATTTGCTCCTCCGACACTATCGGCCTCTGCACCCCTGATTCTGGCATAGCTTCGGCAGCTCCCACTTCCACATTTGAAGACTCAGTGGCTCTCGCTGCTGCTCCTGGTGTCTTCGTCGAATCGCCCGTTGTTGTCGCCGACCGCTCTCCACCTCCAACTCCATCAGCAGCGGTGGTTGAATCCTCTGCAAACCGATGAGCGCCCGGGGACTCCGGGACGGAGTCTGTCCGTAATGTCTCTGCACTGTGGCCAACCCCTGGTTGCTCGCCAATCTGGCCTGAAGGATTCAGATCCTCCGCGCGCCCCGTTCTGCATCATATTAGCTCATCGATCACCGCAACTATAAAAATTGGATAGCTATCGATCCCAAGGCAAAGATACTTACACATCAGCTTCCCGATGAATGGTTCTAAATCGGCGCTGCCTCCTCGAGCACCCAGGCACTGCTTTGGGGTCAACCCACGTGTCCTGGGCTGAAGGTCTTGCGGCCCCCGCCGTCGGCGTCTTTCCCACCGGCAGATTCTTGGGGACTTGACACTAGATGTCTGCTCCTCCCTTCGATCGTACCTCCATGCGCGTTTCGTGCGACGACGTTTTAGAGCTCGGAGGGGGTGCTACTGGAGCCCTGTCATCATTCGACCACTCGGATATTGCCGCACTCTGTGTCTGAGCGATCCGACCACCACCAAATGAGATGTCGACCGGCTTGCGGGGAGCTACATCCGCCTTTCTTCTTTTCTTTTGGGCCAGCTCATCTTTCACCACCCTTTTCCCCCAAACTTTCTCTGATATCAGTGGGGACTTTCCTTTTGACCAGCACCTTCGCCTCTGGATTTGGACGAGGTGTTGACGGCACCTTCCTCCGGCTGTGTGGTCAGCCTGGTGTCCACTGCCTCTGGCCAATCGCTCCTCGGCATGCCCGAGAAGTACGCCGCCCATTCCTGCCAATGGATCTTTCCACAAAAGAATTAGTCCACTGCTCAGTGTCAGCACGGGATACAAAGCACCACGAACAACAGTCGAGATTTTTACCTGGGGAGGGGAATTCGTGCAGTTGAAGGTTTTCGGCTGCTCCAACACGGTGTACGACACGTTTGGAGCGAATAGTTCAGCGGCCCGGTGTAGCACAGCCTCCTTCGTCAGTCTCTCCGTCCTCTCCCGGGTGCCGTCAGTATCTCCTTTGAAGTCAAAGCCCGGATGAGCCCTCTCCTTGCAGGGCTGGACGCGGCGCAGTATGAAGTTCACCGTCACCACCACTCTGCTCATCTTCATGCCCCTCATTATCTCGAGGAGCTCCTTAACCTGTTCCATATTGACACTGGTCGGTTTCTCCGACCAGCTCCTTTGATTCTCTGGAATCTAGTCGACATCGCATCGGACGGCAGGATCACTTTGCTTCATATAAAACCACCTGGCATTCCTCCCCTTCAGCGAGGTATTCAGTGGCACAAGAATGTATTCGCTCGCCATCCCGTCGTGGAGCTGTAGATACACACCGCCGACAACTTTGGAACCACCCCCTCCTTTCTTCTTGAGCCAGAAAAAGTGTCAGAAGAGATTGAAATGGGGAAGAATGCCAAGATAAACCTCGCAGAAGTGGATAAACACATAAATGTGCAAAATAGTGTTCGGATGAAGATTACATAAGCTCACTCCCCAATACTCCAACAGATCCCGCAAGAAAGGATGTACCGGAAGCCCTAATCCACGCCAGAAGTAATCTTCGAATACAACGAGTTCGTCGGTGTGTGGCATCGGATAGGGCTCACCGTCGGTCGGACACCATCCGGCGGTGACATGATCTGGAAGAACGCCTGCCTCCACCATCTCGTTGAGCTCCGCCTCCCCCATGAGTGATGGTATCCATTCCTTGTCACGGCTCACCCCGGTGGCCGCCTTTTTCGCGTTACCGCCTCCCCTTTTCGCCGCCATCCCTCAGATCTGGATCGACATTGGTCCCTTTACGCAAACTTTTTAGCCCTAGTGGCGGAGTGTGTGTGCATGCGAATGGGGGAGCATGAGGGCGAGGAAGACGAAGCATCGGAGTGGCAAAGGTGGGAGCGTGGAGTGCAGCGATGGAGTTATAAAGACACCCTCTCGACTTTCGCATTCAAGGGTTTTTAGGAAACCGCACCATGCCGATTTGCGCCCTTCCGAATTCCCTAAAACGGCGTGCTAGGCCATTATCTGGGTTTTCGCGCAACTACGGCCCATATCGCCCATTTTTCGACGCAGCTCGGTACTGCACACCAAATATTCGTCGACCTCTCCGCAATACCATCAAGGCTCAATAATTTCTACTGTACAGTCATTACTCTGGTTTTTTTCTCAATGATTTGAGTAATCAGCACTTCTCGATTTATCCGAGATTTCCACTCGTCGCTCGGGACTATGTCATCATTAAGATTCAGTTTCTCACCATACTAGGGACTTTTTTTCTACTGTTGTTGCTGACCCTAGCACCACGTGACCACGTCACCTACTGTCAGGCTCGGGGACTAAGTGGGCACACTTCACCTTACGGTGAATGTGCGCTTTTCATTTCAGGGCTCAGCCCGTGGACTAGTTGCCTGTTCGGCTGGTCTTCTGCCTTTCTTCTACTTTCTGGACCCTGGCACCACGTGACCACGTCACCTACTATCAGGCTCGGGGACTAAGTGGGCACACTTCACCTTGAGGTGAGTGTGTTTTTCTTTAATTTGTTCATTGGAAGACTCCGTGTCTCCTGAAGTTGAAGAAGATTATCTCCCTTTCTCGTGGTCGGACTCTAAGTGGGCACACATGGTTCAAGCAAGGAATTTTTCGATGTTGAACTTGAGCTCCTTATATCCTTCTGGCAAACCTTACTTGGGTAAGCTCGGGCTCGGCCGGACAGTTAAGCTGGTCGGTTACGGTCCACAACTGCTCGACGACTCATTAGGGTGGTCAGACTATGAGTCTGACTGCTCGGCTTTGTTTACACCTGCTCGGATAACCTCAATACGGCGTTGCACAGCGGATACAAGGCGCTCGAGGATTAGCTGTGGGGGGTATGACCCCGGATACCCACGGCAGACTACATGGGTTGCGCCGCCAGGGGTGGTCCAGCCCACAAGACGAAGACTTACGGTGCACGGTACTGCTCGGCATGTACCGCAGGACATCAAGGACGATATCCTGAAGATGCTACGAGATCTGTTAGGATAAGCTCGATCTCGTGATTCCTGTAATCTGCTATTACTTACCGGTTATCACATAGATCTAACCGACTTGTAACCCTACCCCCGGCTATATATAGAGGGTAGGGGACCCCTCAAAACACACGCAATATCATATGATAGCCAATACAAACCAACAGACCACAGAAGTAGGGTATTACGTCGAGCTGACGGCCCGAACCTGTCTAACTTTTGTGTCTCTGTTGCTTTCTTGTTCTCGATTACACGCACCTCTGCCGATCAATCTACCTTCGTGGGATACCCCTCGGAGGACTGTCAACGATATTCTGTCGACATGAACCCACCTCAATATAGCCTCAAAACCTGTGGACCTGTACAAGCTAGCTAAGTCAGTTATGATGACTTGGTCAAGCTTTCTCTTTCAGATTTACATAATAGTGAAACCTAATAATATGGTTTGGTTTTCCACCAAGCAACTTAGCCACCCCAACCTAACCACCAGCAGAACTAATTATGACGACTTGATCAGACTTTCCCCTTTTAGGTTCACCTAATAGTGAATCTAATGATGTGATCTGGTTTTTCATCACATAACCACACCCCACTTTAACTCCACCCGAGCCACATCTTGTAGGATAAATAACTTATCACAACTCGACACACACATGGACACACAACCATGTGTTCGCAATAAGTGTTCTCTTTCTCTAAATGATTTTATATTATATTATATACACATGGAACAAATAACGTGGAAATATCCGGGGGATAAAGACAAGAACTGTTATAAATACCCCCTACGCAAGGCACGAACCAAGCTGTGACTTGATTATTAAACAAATTTCCTTGCAGAGTGTTGGCGATGGACGTTGCCTTAAGCACCATCGTGGGTGCCATCGCCCTTTTCATCCCTGCACTGCTGACACTAGTGCCACTGCTTACATTAGTGCAAAAAACACAGCAGCACACTGGCCATAACCCTCCTCCGCCGGAGCCCAGAGCCATTCCCCTCGTCGGCCACCTCCACCTCCTGATAAAGAAGCCACTCCACCGCACCCTCGCCCACCTCGCTGACCGCCATGGAGACGTCCTGGGCCTGCGATTCGGCTGCACCCGAGTCGCTGTTGTGTCCTCTGCCTCAGTCGCCCAGGAGTGCCTTGTCACACTAGACACCTCGTTCGGTAACCGTCCACGACTGCCGTCCGCGAAGATCCTCTCCTATGACTGGTCGACCATGGGCCATTCCAACTGCGGGGCATACTGGCGCCAAGTCCGGCGCACCACCAGCACGGAGTTCTCCTCCGTGGAACGAGTGCAGCACTTCGCTGATGTCCACGAGCAGGAGGCGCGGGCCATGGCACGCCGCCTTTGTCATGTGGCAATTGCTTCTGGAGGCCGCGCTCTTGTAGACGTCAAGTCGCGGCTATTGGAGATGCTAATGAACGGCTTACTGGACATGCTCTTCAAGAGGACATCCTCTCGGAGGTAATATGCATGATATTATTCGGTGTTTAATTGCCATCCGAGACCACCAGTGATCATCGGATAATGCAATTAGACCGACTCATCGGACCCTATCAAATGATACTACTAGTAGATGGATGCCTAGACGACAACTCATAAATTTATAAAGATGCATATGCACGCAAAGTGAATGTAGTGATGCTAAAAGATGACACTGTTCCTTCGTACACAATTGCTGTGCTTGTGCAGCAGTGACGAACAGGACGAGACCGTGGAAGTTACCGAGGAGGCCCGATGCTTCATGGGCATGGCGGAGGAGACGATGGAGCTCACGTTGACGGTGTGGGACTTCCTGCCGGCACTGGCACGGTGGCTGGACGTTGACGCGGTGGGCCGCCGGTTGCAGCGATTGCAAGCAAACAGGACAGAGTTTTTGCAGAGGTTGATCGAGGAGCACAAGGAGAAGGAGAAGTGCGGTCAAGTGACACGCAGGACGTTGGTCCGGGTGCTGCTGGAGCTGCAGAAGAAGGACCCTGAGGCCTGCACGGATCAGCTCATCCGCTCCTTGTGTGTTGTGAGTATTATTATATATCCGATCCACCACTCTCTTAATTACTTCCATGTATGTATCTCAAGATTTAAGGGTTTATGTAGCCAGATAAAGTTTATGTATATGGAATAATATGTTATCATACTATAGACCATCCATAGCATGTATGTCAAGTATACAAGCAAGTATATAGTATATGGTCAAAGTTATTTTATATACTATATTAAGACAGTATTATAACAATATATTAAAAAATACGGGTTCATTTGAAAATTTTCAGGTAGTATGATTTGAAGTATCTTAAAATGAGCATATACATACCATGGAAAATTCGTAGAAATGTTGAAATCACAGTGTGGGTAATGATATCTTGTAGCATTGAGCATTTATTAATTTCATCTCTTCGATCAAAATTTATTTTGTCTGCCTTCATCATAGCTTTATTAATTTGATGGATACTAATAATCAATTTTTTTCAAATTAATCTCATTTTGAAGAGTGCACTCGAAGCTGGGACACTTAGTACAGGCTATATAGTTGAGTGGGTGATGTCTCTCTTGCTAAACTACCCTCACGTCATGAAGAAAGCTCGCGATGAAATCGATGCATGCGTTGGGGAACAACCTAAACGCCTACTGGAGGCGACTGATCTCCCGAAGTTGCCCTACCTTCGATGCATCATCATGGAGACGCTTCGCCTGTACCCAGTGGTACCACTTCTAGTTCCTCGTGAATGCTCTACCGACTGCACGGTCAGCGGGTTCCAAATTCCCAAAGGAACGATGCTTCTTGTCAATACATTTGCTATCCATAGGGATCCTGGGACATGGGAGGACCCAGAAACCTTCCTTCCGGAAAGGTACGTACGCTATATATATACTGCTGGTGCATGATAGTACTACTGAATTACCTCAGTCTCAGCACTCCCTCGATCCATCCCATAACAAGTGCACTTCTAGGCTCTAGCATTCAAAATGCTACGGACTAGGTAACTTTTGGTAGCCTTTTTGTACCTTCTGTATTTCCAATGTGCAATCATTGTATGTTGGGACACCTTTAGTAGGGTTATATAGATAATTTCACTAGTATCCTTGATCTCTTCAACCCAAATCTGGAAGTGCACTTATCTTGGGATGGATGGAGTACGTGTGTGTAATTGCTACACAATATAATTAATTGAGCTTGCTATATGTATATGCACGCGATGTGTAGGTTTGAGGATGGCAGGAACCAAGCACTAGCAGCTGGTAATATGGTGGACCTGTCATTTGGCATGGGGAGACGACGGTGCCCAGCAGAGAACCTGGGGATGCAGTTGGCAGGCATTGCTTTGGGAACTATGATCCAGTGCTTCAACTGGGAACGAGTGGGCACGGAGCTAGTGGACATGGCTGAGGGCTCTGGCCTAACCATGGCAAAGAAGATTCCATTGGAGGCCTTCTGTCAACCTCGTGCTTCTATGGTCAATCTTCTTTCACAAATCTAGCTGCTATATATATATATAAGTTGTACTACTAAGGCACGCGCGCCATATGTTGATGAGTACCATCTCGTTGTTGCTGCTTTTATTGTATCCCTATATATGCATGTAAAATCCTAGTATCAAATAATCTGTCGTGTACAGCCAGATGCATCTTGTGCTTCTATGGTCCATGCAACTTCTTTCACAAGTCTACCTCCTATATATAGGGCTAATTTGGAAGCAAGGTGAAGGCACACCCAGAGATGGAAAGCCCTCCACGAATAAATAAATAGGTTATTCAAATAATTTCCACATGGATTTCCCACTCTGAGAAAAGTCATTGATTTTAGGGGGATTAACTAGCTCATATATAAGGGACTTGTTTTACCTTCCTTCTAGCTGACGATTATTGTATATATTTTATTATATTAAATATTATAGCTTTTGTTCGTTGTAATTATATAAACATAAGCTGCAATTTTTTGTTCCAAAGCTAAAAAATAAACCATTAGACAACATCACAAAATCCAATCAAATCTTATCTGCGTTGGCACAAAAGACAATTAATAATTTACAATTGTTTCTATAGTTAGACAAAAATCAGAATTTGATATGTTGTGATACAAATACAAATAACAAATCATAAAAGTAACACTTTACTTGCACTAGTTGGTCATACAAGAGATTTATCCGAAATTATTTTAAAAATTCAGGCACCTAAAATATAGGAGAAGTGCTTTTATATTTATCGACGACGTAGACCAAATACTTTGAGTGTTGAGTCACCAACAAGATCGAAGTTTGGATTCCAGATGAGTGCACATGAGTAGTCATAGTCTCATAGACAATTGACTATAATTAATAATAAGTGGATCATTCCGTTGCTACGGGCTCCTGGTAAGATTTTCTGCTCTAGTGTCGAACTTCAGAAAGAAGATGACACAAAAAATAGCATATAAACATCGAATGTTTATTCACTGAAAATCTTTGCAGAATATCAGTACTTGAGTTTTAGTTTTTGAAATTGTAGTATCGTGGGGGTGGTTGGGGGGAGGGGGTGTTGAAAGGCCTTACTCGGACCTTAGAATCATATATTGTGCACTTTACGTCACCAACAGGATCGGAGTTAGGATGGTCGGTTAGGCAATGGATTGATTGGTTCATGGATCATATAGTTGCTACAGGCTATTGATTGGATTTTCTGCTCAAGTGTGCAATTCAGAAAATATGATCCTAATAAATATACATATATGTTGAATGCCAATTCGCCGAGGCCTTAAGAATCGTCAGGTTTTTGTTTCCTGTTCACATGAGTACATTGACGAGACATATTTTACAACAACGACACTATTGAAGTTAGGATTCCAAACACCGGCCGAAGTGATGATGGGATAGGACTGATTGGTCCTTGGACCTAAGAATCATTTAGCTGTTGTAGGCTCCTCAATCTTTGGCACCGAGCACACATCGGAGTGATGGTAATAGGTCCAATTGGTCATATTCCCTTGTTGAGAAAGTTGGCAGAGCTAGCCCTTCATGGCAGTGGTTGGTTCGATGATGTGGGACATTGTCGGTGATGATGACACAAGCAAGGACGATGGTGTGTCGATTCCAAGTGATGTTGGTGCAATTCGGCAATCAACAAGTGGTGATGTGGTGCTTGTGTAGCGGTCATAATAGAATATTTTTTCAGTTGCAGAGTGGTGCAATTGTGTAAAGTTGGAGTGAATTAGGGTAGTGCAGTGGGTGTTGAGCAATTCAACCAGCCGCCTTGTCTTTTTTGTGGTTGCTTGACTCTTAGACCGGTCTCAGTAAGGATTTCATGTCCCAGTTTTCAACACATCCATATTTTTGAAACAGTGGAGAAGAGTTTCATCCATGAAACTCTCTCTACTCTAATGAAACTTTTATCATCTATCTTTTCATTAATACGGTGCTATATCAGCATATTTAATGTGCATAAAACTCTAATGAAACCTCCACTGATACTGGCCTTATGGATCTTGTTGCTCCCCTGTATTTGCTAAGCGGTCGGCTGGTCAGACCATCTCCTCTCTTCTTAAGCCGAGCCAAGCCCGCACCGGAGCTGAGGAGCGGGGCCTAGCGGTGCAAGGGGGCGGTGGCGCTAGGACGGTGGTGCATGGTGCGTGTTGGGGCAAGGGAGGTGTGGGCGGCAGCAAGGGAGGCACAATACGCTCCATGTGGCGCTTCGAGTGGATCAGGGAAGAAGATATCATGGACAAGAAAAGAATAGAAGGAGAAATAGTTAAAGATATAAAGACAGTATATAATAGGTGGGCTTTACGGATGACAATTAAGTGAGATGGGTGCTAACGGTGTTAAAAATCTAACGTCATCGCATCCCTCCCCTCCAATCAACCAAAAACAATTACAGTGGAAGTAAGAGAAAATATTATAGTAGTTAAAGTGTGATCTTGATTCTTGATGGTAAGATCAAATCAAATCCACTTCTACATTTCAGGTGTCTAAATTTTAAGATGGTTTCAAAACCAATTAGTACAATATAAATTGTAACTTATGTGAACTTTTATTTGTATTTGTATAGTAACATATCAAATTTTGGTTTTTGTCTAACTATAAAAACAATTGAAGATTGCTAGTTGCCTTTTGTGCCAACGCAGATCAGATTTTATCGGATTTGTGGTTTTGTCTAACGGGTTTTTTTATTCTCGGAACCAAAAATTTCAGATTATAATTACATAATTGCATTGAACTGAAGTTATAATTTTTAATATAGAATATATATAATAATCGTCACATGAAAGTAAGCTAAAATTCAGCCACCTAAATTTTAGCAAGCCTCAGAAACCAAACGGAGAAACAAAATTGCCTACACGCTGCAAACCACCACCCGTGAGACCACGGCTTTGATGACTGCCACGCGTCTCAAAAAAAAACAGACGTTGCGGAAGGTGCGGCTTTTTTTTTGGGCGAATACGTAAGGTGCAGCTCCTATGTGGTACCTAGACACCTTGAGCCCTTCATGCGCGGAGAAAGGCACTGCAGCGAACTGCCCCTTGCGCCGGACATGCACTTCGATCAGTGGCTGACTGGCTGGTGACGCGTCAACATTGGCAAGGGGTTGCACGCAAGATGGACAGGACCTGTGTCCACCGAACTTCCCCTCACACTATCAGACATGTAGAACAGTAGGAGGCAAGGTGGCGTGCACAAGAAGGCACTTGATACTTGATAGCAACTGTGTAAACCATAATAGTTTGTCTGGAAAATGATTTTGTTTCGAAGACTTCTCGTGATGAGGATGACTTGATCAATAACATGACAAGAGGTTTTATAGTTTTTTGATTGTTTTGATGCGTATGTATAAAATGTTACCGTAACGTTAGCCCGAGCAATACACTGTATATAAAAATTAATGGAGCCCTAGAAAACCATGGACGGAACGTTAAACGGCGGCTTTATTACTGTTCCCTCGCAGGTCGAGCTCCAAACCACTGATGAGATCAATTTCCATGGCAAACCTAGCACATCAGTTGGCGTTGGTGCATGGAAGAGGCCACGTTCAGTGCCAGGAAGAGGCAGGCGCAGGCGCAGCTAGACGACGATGACGACGACAACCTTCTTCTACCGCCGCCTTGGCCTCCAGCTCTGCCCGTCCTGGCCGGGCCACCTCCACCTGGTGGGCTCGCTCCTGCACGTCTCCCTCCACAGGCTCGCCAGGAAGCACGGCTCCGACGTCATGCTCCTCCGCCTCGGCGCCATGCCGGTGCTCGTCGTGTCGTCGCCGCGCGCGGCCGAGGCGGTGCTGCGCACGCACGACCGCGTGTGCGCGTCCCGGCCCTACTCCCTCATGGCCGAGGTGGTCATGTACGGGCCCTCCGACGTCGGCTTCGTGCCGTACGGGGACTACTGGCGGCGGGCCAGGAAGCTCATCACCACGCACCTGCTCACCGTCAGGAGGGTGCAGGCGCTCCGCCTCGCCCGCGAACAAGAGGTAAGACTACGTACGATCGAAATATATACATAACCTTGGAGACATACATATGTGACGTGTGTGTGATGCGTAGGTGAGCGCGGTGATGGCCAGGATTGGCGAGGCTGCGGCGGCAGGAGCGGCGGTGGACATGGGTGAGCTGCTCGGCTCGTTCACCGACGACCTGGCGTGCCGCGCAGTGATGGGCAAGTCCTTCGGGGGCGAGGGCCGGAACAAGCTGTTCCGGGAGCTCGTCAGCGACACCTCGCCGCTGCTGGGCGGCTTCAACGTCGAGGAGTTCTTCCCCTTCCTTGCTCGCTTCGGCGTGCTCAGTAGGGCGGTCCGCGCCAAATCCGAGAGGTTGAGGAGGAGGTGGGGCGAGCAGCTGGACAGGCTTATTGAGGACCATGAGTCAACGGCGACGGCGAGTAATCCTAGCAAGGACGACGAGGATGACATCATACATATTTTGCTCTCCGTTCGACACGAGTACGGCCTCACCAGAGAGCAGATGAAAGCTATCCTGCTTGTAAGTAGCAGTATGTGTATGTATATTTACATATACATGAAAATGTTTGACAGAATGAAATATCTCATCTTTGCAGGACGTGTTCTTCGGGGGAATAGGGACAGGAGCTGCGGCACTCGAATTCACCGTCGCTGAGCTCATGCGGAACCCACACGTAACGAGGAAACTGCAGGCCGAGGTACGGAGCGTTGTACACTACTTGAAAAACACTTTGTAGTAATGGGTGATGGAGCCGCCCGTACAGTGGCGTGCTCGAGACCCATGAGACTAGCCGCTCCCTATAAATAGAACAGCAGGGACGGCTGGTGATACGAGCCGCCCCTACAAATGGGTCGGATTTGTAGGGGCGGCTCACTCATCAGCCGTCTCCGGTGTTGCTATTTGTAGGAGCGGCGGGTGATTGAGGTGGATAAATTTTTCGTGAAGAGGTGGATAAATTTATTGACGTTGACAGAAAATAAGGATAGAATTATTTGTCCCTATAAAGATTGCAAGAACCGTATGGCATGGACAGATGTGATTATCATCAGATCACATTTGATTATGCGAAGATTTGTTGAGAACTACACAGTGTAGATTAATCATGGTGAAACGGTTATTGTTAACGACGAGGATGAAGAGGAATACGACGATGAAACCCTAGAATACCTGTCCCAATATTCAGCAGAGCTTGAAGCACGAATGGATCACGAGTTTGGCAATAAACAAGGTGGTGATGCTGGTGGTTGGGATGGCAACGACGAATGTGGTGCCAATAATGATGGTGGAGCACGTGTCGGGAATGAAGATGATTTGGAGGACATAATTCGAACCCTTAGACCAGAGACTTTACTAAAGAGCCCGAAAGGTCTAGAAAATTTGGAAAGGATGACAAAAGCATCAAAGGAGACTGTGTATGGTGTTGAAAATGGTTGTCCGACACATTGGACATTGCTACGTTTTGTGCTTGAGCTACTCATCCTGAAGGCAAAGTACCGCTGGTCAGACTGTACTTTTAATGATCTATTGTGTCTCCTGTCATGGGTGCTGCCACAACTAAACTCAGTTCCCGAGCGAAGAAGATTATAAGTCCATTGACAACGGGGGTTGAAAAAATCCATGCATGCCCCAACCACTGTATACTTTTTTATGGCGAAACGTTCAAGTCACTGGATAAATGCCCCCGGTGTGGGGCTAGCCGGTACAAGAACAATGACCTTTATGGCGGGGACGTAGCCTCCACGAGGAAAAAAAGAAATAAGAAGGGTACAAAAAAGGTGGTACAAGAATCTCAGCCCCCAGAGGACACTCCATTAGGCAACGATGCAAAGTAGAGAAGAATTCCTGCCTTGGTAATGTGGTACATGCCAGTGACCGACCGCTTGAGACGTATCTTCCTAAACCCTAAAGAAGCCGCACTCATGACATGGTGGGATGATGAGCGCAAGGTGGATGATGATAAGATTGCACGCCCGGCTGATTATAGTCAGTGGCAAAGGTTCGATGAGAAGCATAAAGAATTCAGCGATGACCCAAGGAATGTACGGTTTGGCTTGAGTACCGATGGAATGAATCCCTTCAATGAGAGAATGAGCGACCACAACACTTGGCCAGTGATCTTGACCATATACAACATCCCAACATGGTTGTGTTAGAAGAGAAAGTACCTTCTTCTCACTATTCTTATTTCTAGCCCTAAACAACTAGACATTGATATAGACGTGTTCCTCGAGCCTTTGATGCAAGAAATGGAGAGGCTATGGAGGCATGGGGAGCCGATGTATGATGCGTTCCGAAAGGATAACTTCATATGTAGAGCAATAATATTTGTTACTACCAATAATTACCCCCGCGTTGTTTGCTTTGTCTGGACAGATCAAAGGGAAGACGGGATGCTTGGTTTGCTTGGATGGTACTACATGGGTATACCTAGATGCATCCAAGAAGATAGTTTACCTAAGGAACCGATGCTTCTTAAAGACAAGTCATAAGTACCACAGCAAATTATTCTTTAGATTTTATGACAACACCCCGGAGATTGAACCCCCTCCGGAGAGACGTCATAACGGAGAACATATGTACAGAATGGTGAAAACATACGCGTCGTCTATGGAAAGAAGAATTCGGATGGGACGAATAGAGATAGAAGCACATCTCCTGTCGAAGGCGTACGTTTCAAGAAACAATCGAGCTTCTTTCAGTTTCTGCCTTATTAGCCAGACTTGGAGGTTCCCCATGCCATTGATACTATGCACGTACAGAAGAATGTCTTTGAGAGTCTCATTGCTACCTTTATGGACACAGGCAAGTCAAAGGATGGTATGAAATCATGGAAAGACATGGTGCAACTAAACGTGATGCCACAGCTTCACCCGGTACCTGAGGCTAATGGAAAATACACTCTGCCTGCGGCGTGCTTCAACCTAACACTAGATGAGAAGAGAGCTATATGCACTTTCTTGAGGGGGGTCAAAGTTCTGACTGGGCTTTCAGCGAATGTGAAGAAGCTAGTGTCAATGAAGGACTTGTCAATAACACAATGCAAAGCTCACGATTGTCATGTGATGCTGACAATATTTCTACCTATTGCAATCAGGGCTATAAAGCTAGAGTTCTTGAAAATGGCCATCACCCGCATGTGCTACTTCTTTTCAAAGATATCATAGAAGACGATTGGCAAGCAAGAGCTGAGTGACCTACATGAATTTGTGGTGTAGACACAAAACCAACTAGAGATGTGTTGACCTCCTGCTTTTTTGATATAATGCCACATCTCATGATTCACATGGTTCATCAGATACAAGCGCTGGGCCCTTGCTACTTACATGAAATGTGGTCTTACGAGCGGTTCATGTCGGTTCTAAGTTGATACGTGTATAATCGAGCATACCCAGAGGGCTCCATGATAGAGGGTTACAGTACTGAAGAAGTCATCGAGTGTTGTCAAGAGTACCTAAAAGTACAAAAAGGGATTGGTAAACCCGATTCTCGTCACAAGGGTAGGCTGGCTAGGAAGTGCACCAGTGGTAGAAAAGTGTTCATCGACCATGATTACAAAGAGGTGAGTTGGGCGTATTACAGTGTCTTATAGAGTACACAACTGATGCAACTGTACATTGATGAACACTTGGCTATCATTATGGCGAAGAAAAATGGTCGTTCAGATAATTGGGTCATGAAACAGCACAAGCAACGACTAACTATATGGTTGAAGGACCAAAATATACCGCCTGGAGAAACCATAGACTCTATTACCATTAATAGGTTGGCGGAGGGGCCATCGAGACAAGTGACATCTTGGAATGCTTATGACATCAATGGGTATACGTACTATAGCCACGCAAAGGATAGTAAATATGTGAACCAAAATAGCGACGTTCGAATAGAAGCTCTCGATAGAGTAGGGTGAAAGATCCAATACTTTGACATCATTGAAGAGATATAGGAACTTGACTATGGAAGGGATATAACGGTGGCCCTGTTTCGATGCCGCTGGATCAAACAACACCAACTGAACGAGATCGGATTGAGAGTCCTGGACCTCGAAAATCTAGGCTACCAAGGTGACCCTTAGGTGCTCGCTTCACGTGTCGCACAAGTTTTCTATATGCCTGACCCACAAAGTAACCTCCCCTCGAAGAAGAAGACAAAGCACGTGGTTGCCTCCAGGAAGCAGCATATTATCGAAGTTGATGGCGTGGACGATGTTGAAGCTTACAATAACTACGATGAGATGCCGCTATTCACAGACTTTTCTAAGAAGATCAGTGTTGTGGAAAAGAACATGCCTAAAGACATATTGCCATGGAAACGAAAATGTGTTAAGGGAAAAGTCGTTACAGCGGGCTAGCTAGTTGTTGAATGTGGAGTGTTTGTGTAAGTGTGTGTGTTTGTAAGACTTTATTTATGCATGTGTGTGAGACTATATATTTATGTATGTGTGTGAGACTATAGATTTATAGTTGAAATTATTTAAGGTTTCAAAATCTCGTTTGAAGTTACCATTTATTGAAATTTAAAATTTTAACTGTTCAAATTTGATCAAATGAAAAGATGACAAAAATAAAAATTGTAGATAGTGATATGTTCAATAACTTCTATGTTCATGACTTTCTTATTTGAAACCATTTAAGGTTTCAAAATCTTATTTGAAGTTGATATTTATTGAAATTCAAAATTTAAACTATTCAAATTTGGTCAAATGAAAAGATGACCAAAATATAAGTTGGAGATCTTGGCAATTTATACAACTTTGGTATTCATCAACTTTACAGCTGAAATTATTTAATGGTTGAAAATCAGGTTTGAAGTTGTCATTTTCTGAAATTGAAAATTTGAATTATCCAAAATTAGTGACAAAGATAGATGACCAGACTAAAATGTTACAGCATGATTTTAGAAAATTTAAAAAAAAACCCATCACATTTAGAGTTAGTATGGGGGAGAAAAAACTAGTTATAAGTTTTAGCCACAGATTAAAAAGAGAAATCACACTTGTTAATCATTTATCATCATGAACAGTTGTGATTTTTCTTTTTAATCTCTGGATAAAATTTGTAACTAGTCTTTCTCCCTTATGCTAACTCCGACTGTGATGATTTTTTTTCTACAATTTTCTAAAATCATTTCCTATCAAGTCACTATGTTGATTTGGTCATTTTTTTTATTTGACAAAGTTTGAGCAATTCAAATTTTTAAATTTTAAAAAATGACAAGTTCTAGCAAGATTTTCAACCATTAAATGATTTCAGCTGAAAAAGTTATGAATACCAAAGTTGTATAACTCATCAAGATCATTTTTTATCTGATAAAGTGATAGTAAACATTGTTCACAAATCAAAATGTCTCTCGTATAGTTCATGTAACTGAGTCATATGTGAATTTGTGAATAATTTTTACTAACACTTGATCATATGAATAAGTGACCAAAATAAAAGTTATACATAGTGATGACTTCAACAACTTTTATGTTCATGATTTTTATAGTTGAAATCATTTAATGTTTCAAAATTTTGTTTGAAGTTGTCATTTATTGAATTTCAAATTTTAAACTATCAAATTTAGTCAAATGAAAATATGATAAAAATAAAAGTTTTAGATAGTGATGTGTTCAACAACTTCTATGTTCATGAGTTTCATATTTGAAACCATTTAAGATTTCAAAATCTTATTTAAAGTTGACTTTTATTGAAATTCAAAATTTGAACTGTTCAAATTTGGTCAAATGAAAAGATGACCAAAATATAAGTTAGAGATCTTGACGAGTTATATAACTTTGGTATTCATCACCTTTACAACTGAAATCATTTAATGGTTGAAAATCAGGTCTGAAGTTATCATTTTCTGAAATTAAAAAATTTGAATTGTCCAAAATTAGTGATAAACATAGATGACCATACTAAAATGATATAGCATGATTTTAGAAAATTTTAGAAAAAAAACCATCACATTTGGAGTTAGTATGAGAAAGAAAAACTAGTTACAAGTTTCGGCCATAGATTAAAAAGAGAAATCACACTTGTTCATCATTGATCATGATGAACAGTTGTGATTTTTCTTTTTAATCTCTGGGTAAAATTTGTAACTAGTCTTTCTCCCTCATACTAACTCCAAATATGATGATTTTTTTTCTAAAATTTTCTAAAATCATCCCCTATCAAGTTACTATATTGATTTGGTTATTCTTTTCATTTGACAAAGTTTGAGCAATTCAAATTGTAAAAAATGACAAGTTCTAGCGAGATTTTCAACCATTAAACGATTTCAGCTGAAAAAATGATGAATACTAAAGTTGTATAACTCATCAAGATCTACTTTTATTTTGGTCATTTCTTCATCTAACAAAGTGATAGTAAACATTGTGTACAAATCAACATGTCTCTCGTATAGTTCAAGAAACTATGAGTCATATGTGAATTTGTGAACAATGTTTACCAATACTTTGTCACATGAAGAAGTGACCAAAATAAAAGTTGTAGATAGTGATGAGTTCAACAACTTTTATGTTCACGACTTTTATAGTTGAAATCATTTAAGGTTTTAAAATCTTGTTTGAAGTTACCATTTATTGAAATTCAAAATTTTAACTGTCCAAATTTGGTCAAATGAAAATATGATCAAAATAAAAGTTGTAGATAGTGATGTGTACAACAACTTTTATGTTCATGACTTTCTTATTTGAAACCATTTAAAGTTAAAAATCTTATTTGAAGTTGACATTTATTGAAATTCAAAATTTGAACTTTTCAAATTTAGTTAAATGAAAAGATGACCATAATATAAGTTGTACATCTTGATGAGTTCTATAACTTTAATGTTTACAAAATTTTCATTTGAGGTCATTTAGTGTCCTAAAATTCTATTAGTTGTTTTGAAATTTAAATTTTAAAATATTGTTTTTGTAAAGAAGAAAATATAAAATTATATCTATATATATAATAAATTTGTTTGTATACATATATTTATATATATAGAATAATAAAAAAACTAATACATAAATTAAAATAAATTACAGAATTAGTAATTAAAATAAATTGAAAAATATTTGTAGGGGCGGCTAACTAAGGAACCGACCTTAGAAATCTATTTGTAGGGACGGCTAACTCAGGAGCCACCCCTAATAATGACCTCCGGTATATATACCAGAGCCCGCCGGAGGCTAAAAATTTTCTAAGTCGGGGCTCTCTCTTCTTCCTTGCGGACACCGTCAGGCTACCGAACCCGTCGCCGCCACCACCGTCTCCGTGCCGTAGTGCCGCTTCCTCTCACCTCTGTCGGCCCGTGCGCTCTGGCATTCCTCCCCCGAGCTTCCTTGGCTCCGTCCGCCACTGGGACCCGCTGCGGAACCCTAGCCGTGGGCTACGTCTCTGTGCTCTACCTCCGTTGCCTCCGTGCTCTACCTCCGCCACACCCTACCTCCCCCGATCCGCCTCCAACCCCCGGTACATCTCCTGCCCTACGCGTCGTCGTTCCCCCCAGCGGCTAGGGTTTCCACCGCCGTTCCCCCTCCCATGGCGGCTAGGGTTTCCGACGCTGTGGTGCGTGTGGCACGGTCGGTGGTGACATTGTGGTGCGCTGAGCCACCTCCTCAAGTCTTCCATCGAGCCGCAACATCCCTCCCTCGACCAGGACAGCAGCTACCTGATTGATTCCGTCCTCTCCCTGCTTGCTCTGGTGGGTTTCCTGCTGAATGCTTATCACAACTAGTATAGTACCAAAATTGAGTGTAAAGCTTGATGATCTGATGTTTGAAGCCTCCTTGTTTGACTCTATGAGATATTAGTGTTTCATGGTCTAATATTAGTTATAGGAGTATTGTCTATTGGGGGTCCATAGCACGTGATGCTGGAAGTGGCTATTAGAGGCTCTGATATTAGTGTTTCATGGTCTGATATTAGTATCTTGGTAGCTTGTGGAGATCAAACAGACTATTAGTGGCTCGCTTTCAAGTGCACTTCTACACTTCTACCACAGCAGCAATGTGAGGATGCTTGATTTCTTCAGTTTCTTGAGTAGTGTTGCTCTTTGCTTTGGCCCACAGTAACTTCGATTTGCGATCGAAATGTGTGCGGTGATTAGATGCAGTAGATAAGGATTTGTAGTAGCAAGGGCTACAATGATTTTTGCCTGTATAGTTTTTGGATTTACTCAATAAAAGTAAAGCCACAGATTAGCTGGGTTGGGCTAGGCTGTTTGGATTCACTTTTTTAGCATGTTTTTGATTCATTTGTGGGTTGCGTCGTGGTTGATAGATGGTTGGATGTGCAAATAAACCATTAACACATGTTAGCACCTTGCCACCAGCCAATGAACTGCTAGGAGTAAATGTTTGGATCCTCATCTGCTAATTGTAGCTGCTAACTATATATATATATCATCTGCTAATTGTAGCTCTCTTAACTTGAAGACTGCAAATACTGTTCCCTGAAATGCTAAATGCAGGGTTGATTAATTCATGCAAAGTTCCATTGGAGTTCCTTATTTCATCATCACACTTCGTAGTTATCACTAAAATAAAAAAAGCATCATAGTCTGTTTGCAGTTCCTAGTTTGAGGCTTTTAATTTGTTATATATATGGGGATGAAGTGTGTGTGTGTTGTATTTTAGAACTGTGGTCTAGCTTCTTTCACAATTTTTTAAAAAAAACACCGTGTGCTATGAGATGCTGAAACTTTGTAACAATAATAATGGACAACCATACATCATATCTTGTGAATGTAGGGCATGATTGGTTGCCCGAACCGGACCGTCATATGGCCCATCTTGCATCCTTTGGTGCATTCGCCTATGTTTGGTTGCCCTACTGGCATCATTTGACCGATGATGCAAACTATAGCAATCTGAGGTGGCTGTGGGTATTCTTTATGTTGGTGCTTTTTTGTCTTCTTGTGTTTTCTCATGTCTGTCATCAAATCGTGGGATACGTCCATTCCAAAGCAACTGTTGTAGGCATGCCTACCTAATGGCTGGGATGGACGTGTCCCATGCTTCCATGGGAGCCATGAACTTGCCTCAGCAATTTGTGTTCTTATTTACCACCTAGGATGATTGCGGTTAGCTTACAAGATGATCATAAGTTAGTTTGCAGTTAGCTGAGGCCTGCATTTTTTGTGCCTATGATGTCAACTGTTTTTTTTACTGAGGCTGATACAATTGTGAGATCCTTTTATACCTATGAAGATAACAGTGCCAGTTGAGTAATGGATTATGCACATTGATGACCTTGGACTTATGAGGTACTAGAGCATTGTTTCTTCTATCTTCTGCTTATGCTTCTCATGGCTGTCATCAAACCATGTGAGACATCCATGCCCAAGCAACAGCTGGGCGGTTGTGATAATCTGATAGCTGGGCTGGATGTCTCTCATGGTTTCATGCCTGTTATGATCTTGGTTTTCTACTATATGTTTGAGGTTTGTTGTTGTCTATGTTTCTTAAGCTCCAAGTTCAAGGTCAAATGAAAAGGCAATTAAATCTGAGACAAATTGATTGTACCAGCTAGCTGATTCATTCGTCTCTCACTCTTGGGGGTCGGGTGATGAGTGAGTGTATGCTGATGCAACATCATCAAGATTGTGTTTGCACCGACTGTGTTTGCTTGCCTGCTTGCCTGCTTGTTGCTTCACCTGCAAGCACCGACTGTGTTTGCTTGCCTGCTTGCCTGCTTGTTGTTTCATTCATACACACCGCAATCCATAGCAGCTAGCTTCTGTGGCTTCTGAACATGAGTACTAGTAGTGTCAAATTTTAACTTTGATGATCTTTGTGAGACGTCATTTGCTCTAAAGCAACTCCGGGCTGCAGTTTCTTGGTATACGACTGATTCTTTAGTTTAGTAGGCAGTAGCTTCATGTGTCTATTTTTCTATACTTGGCAGTATACATGATATTATTTGCTTACAGTATAATTTTTTCTATACTTGGCAGTATACATGATATTTTTCTATACTTGGCGGTATACATGGCATATATTCATATAACTTTAGTTACCCATATTATTATTTTTTTGTTGGATATATAGAATCAATAATTTTTCTATACTTGGCAGTATACATGATATTTTTCTATACTTGGCAGTATACATGGTATATATTTATATAACTTTGGTTACCCATATTATTTCTATACTTGGCAGTATACCATTGTTTAGTAAATTGTTTAATATACATATATTATTTAGTAGATTGTTTAATATACATATATATTTCAGTTGTCTGTGCTAATCTTGTGTTTAGTAGATGTTAGCTGTCTTTTGCTAAACACTGACCCCTCTTATACCATGTCATTTGTAGCTAAAATAGATGTTAGTTGTCTTTTGCTAAACACTGACCCCTCTTATACCATGTCATTTGCTTGCTTGCTTGCCTGCTTGTTGCTTCACCTGCAAGCACCGACTGTGTTTGCTTACTTGCTTGCCTGCTTGTTGCTTCATTCATACACACTGTAATCCATAGCAGCTAGCTTCTGCGGCTTCTGAATATGAGTACTAGTAGTGTTAAATTTTAACTTTGATGATCTTTGTGAGACGTCATTTGCTCTAAAGCAACCCCGTGCTACAGTTTCTTGGTATATGACTGATTCTTTAGTTTAGTAGGCAGTAGCTTCATATGTCTATTTTTCTATACTTGGCAGTATACATGATATTATTTGCTTACAGTATAATTTTTTCTATACTTGGCAGTATACATGATATTTTTCTATACTTGGCAGTATACATGGCATATATTCACATAACTTTGGTTACCCATATTATTTTTTTGTTGGATATATAGAATCAATAATTTTTCTGAACCCAATCATGTTTCTGCCAAAAAGAATTATAGAAACGGAAACTAGAGAGATGTTTTTCCCATATGTTTCCTTCCGCTTCGGCCCTAGTTAGGTATATAAGATAGAAAAGACCTCAGTTGAGCTTGTCACACACTTAGCCACTAGTAGAGAGCCTGTAGGGACCTCAACTGGTCTCTCAGTCGATCTATTTTATGATTTGAGTATTGTGTGACCATATTTTTGCACACTCTGGCCAGGCTCCACAAGGCCAAGTTGAATATGTTTAGTTGCCTGGACATGCCTTCTGGCCAAGTTGAATATGTTTAGTTGCCTGCATTGTTCTCTGTTTGTGAGTGGAAATTGGGAGACAGGTACACCTGCAGCTTCTGACTGATCCATTTCCCTGCCTTCAATTGTTCTCTGTTTGTGTTCACTGGGTCCCTATAGTTTCAGTTTCATTTACTACTCGCGTGTCTTCTTCACTGCTTACTTGGGGAACTGTCGGTTGTGGACCAGATGAAAATATCTTTTGCGCAAAATTCCTCGTGCAGGTTAGTGTGATATTTGACACTTGGTTCCCTTGGAAAGTTGCATATTGCTCTCTGTTTCTATCTTTTTTCCTTCTTCTTCTACTTCTAGTGCTTCCAACGTTCTATTTTTTTGGTTCCTGAAAGCAGACTTCCCAAGCACTAGTACTATCTCCAAGAACATCTTCATTAGTTAAGTGATAACCAAGTAAGCAAATACTGCAATCCTTAGCGATATGCAATCTTTTAATTTTCACTCTCTTGATTGACTGGATATACAATAATTGTGATTCTTAGTTTTTTTTCCTGCTTTCTAGTCTATCTGTATGGCTGTATCTTGAAGTGTTCCTCTCACTGTATTGTTCTCTTTAGCATTTTTGAGTAATAAGTTAAAAAGATTAATGCAATTTTTTCATGAGATGGTCTGAGAAAAATCTAAGCTTTCCTCACAATAGCTCTAGGTTGTTAGCTTATGACAACCCCTGACTTTTATTTTAGGGCATATATGAAACTTCACTCTGAAATAGTTGTATATGAAACTTCACCAGTTCATGATATGAAATTACAATCCTTGTTTCATTGTTAGTGCTTGTTTAAGCTATGTGTTGCTAAATTGAACAAGCTATGCAGGTACATTGTTAGTGCTAGTTTAGTTTTGTGGGTGCATGTGTTCATATACCGAGCAGTCTTGTTCAGAGCTGAGTTTCTATCTTGTTTCTATTTGTCATGGTAAACATTGATATTGGTGCTACATAGACAGCAGATTATTTTGATATTTGTTATTTTCCTGCTAGCTAAGACAGTTGAGTCACTGTCATGTTTCTAATAGCCACCATAAACTTTGATATTTAGTAATTGTGTATTCTGGTTCCCAATTGATGCTTCAGTGTAATCACTGATAGTAGTATCAACCCATTTAGCTTGGTTGTGCATGGTAAAGCTAAGCAGTTATCCATACCTTTGGATTTTGCATCTGAATTCTAGTCCTCCTGCTTGCCATCCTTATTTATAGGACAATGCTGCTCTTTTCTAGTCCTGCTGCGCAACAGGACCAAAATTGGCATGATGATCGAATGGCTCCCTACTTATAAGTTGTTGTTGTTTTTTGCGACATTTCCTATCCTCTATGTTTGGGAAGCAGCAGTTGCTTTTTTACACATTTTCCTCTCTATGTTTGTTAAGCAGCTGTTGCTTTTTTGCCAAATCTCCCCTCTCCTCTCCTCTCCTTTGTTTTGCCGATGATGAAATTATCCAAGTCCATACATTATATGGAATATGAGCTAATGATCAAGAACTTGTGAGGAACTTGGCATCATTACCAGCCGCTCCTATATTACCTTCTCCTCTCTTCTCTGTTATGATGCCTTGATGCTCTAAGTTTATGATCAAATGATGATTGACATGTTTCTAAGGCCTTTACTACTGCTACTACTCGTTTTTTTATATATTGTTGTTTTATAGGACTACTTTGGTTTATAGACCTTTTTTATTTCTTATACCTTCTTGCGTATCTAAAGCACACTTTCTTGCATCTATTAGAACAAAGTGCAAAATAAAGTCACAGACACCAGACAGTGCAGCCTGATGCCCCGAGCATGATGAGTAGCCAACCTATGAGGAGCAAGCACTAGAGGACCAGCATACTCAGGAGCAGTTCGATAACGAGTTAGAAAATGATTTAGAAGTGATGTTTACTCAGGAGCAGTGTGACGAGGAGGAAGGGGGAGCAGAAGGAAGAGCAGGAGAG